AGGCACCACAGTGACCTCCCCCCTCTGTCCAGGCACCACAGTGACCTTCCCCCTCTGTCCAGGCACCACAGTGACCTTCCGGGCAGCAGCCCCAAGCCTGGGCCCCTCCCCTCTCCCCAGAGCCTCGACCTCACACCCCCTTCCCTCCTTGGGTCCAAGCCCAAGGCTCAGGGCTCAGGGTTGGTTGGACAGGAAGGCCAGCCCCCTGGGTCCCCTGCCCACACCCAACCCAGTGGCCCCTGCCCCAGCTCCTGTTCCCTCCTCCCCTCTGATGCCAGGGAGCCCCTCTCCATCGTCCCCAGCCCAGCGGAGACATCCTTTCCTAGCAAGCCTCTTGACCGGCCAGGCCCCGGGGGCCCCCTCCACAGGGGATCTTATGTGCCACATAAGTGTCACAACAGGGGGCAGAGGTCTGACCAAGGCAGGACCAGGCCAAGAGGATAAAGGGCCACAGTGAATGGAATGGCCCTGGCCAGGGATCCTGCCCTCCTGGTCCTTGTGGCCTTGGCCTCTGAGCCTGGTCTGCTCACTGCCAAAGGGGACACGCAGCCTCGACCTGCTGTCTCTGACAGGAGGAGCGTGTACTTGGGGTACAGCCCTGGCGGGGACCCCGTAGAAGCACCTTGTCTCTCCCCAGCTGGACGCTCAGCCCCAGAGGTCAAGGTGCTTCTCCTGGCTCTGCCCAGCCCGGCCCAGCACGCTGCACAGGGACACACGTGAGCCCTGCTGACGCCTGCTGCCCTCAGCCCTGCACCGGGCCAGGGCTGGCCGCTCACCCCCTGTGGACCTGCACCAGCATCTGGCTTTGGCCTCAGGGGCCGTGTTCCTCAGCACGCTCCTGCCCCCAGGCCTGCCTGCAGCCCGGGCTCCTGCAAAGCCAGGACAGAGGCTGGGTGCAGGCAGTCCTCGGGAGCCGGCGTCCTCCCCTCGAGGACGGGGCATGAACTCCCAAGGCACAGCCACGGGGAGGGGCTCTCGAGAGGTGGGAGGGTGCTGCAGCCCCAGCCGGGAGGGGGGCGAGGTGTCCACTCCACCCGCTTCCACTGGCCCCGCTGAGAACGGGGCTGCGGAGGGGAAGGGGAGGCCCAGCCCCTGCTGTCCGCCAGCCTGGCCGGCAGGCTATCTGATGCCAGGCTGCGGCGAGGCTGCAGTGCCCAGGGCCTCCTCCCCCGGGCAGCTCCCGAAGCTCCTGGGCTTCTGCTCCCTTCCACGCAGCTCCTGTCTGCCCGTCCCCGGAGCCAGGACAGACATCGAGTCTGAGTCTCATTTCCCTGAAGCAAAATCCCCCGATCCCGGATGAAGCTCAGCTCAAGCACGTGGAACAGACAGCGGGTGGGAACAGAGAGCAGGGGCTGGGGACCCCGCAGGGGCGCGGC